CCTGTTGTAGAGGCCTGCGTTTGTGAAACATCAAACAAGTCAAGCGTGGAAATTGTTTTTGATGAGTTTAATGGTGTTAGTAGTGCAAAACAGGATAATTGCACTTCATTGGACATTCAACTGAAAAATGAAAATACAGGATTAGCAGAACATATGAAAACTGAACAGGCTGAGTATCCTCAATTAGATAATAATTATAACGATGATAAGGTCAATATTCCTTCAGTTTTGTCTTCAAATACCAGTGCTGACCGCAAGAACGTGGACATTACACCATCTGTCTTCTGCAACAAGCATGGGACCGTGGAAACTGAACAGAATATGTTGGAAGGAGCATCAGGTTGTGGTAGCATAGTAAACGAGAAAACAGACAATAACATCGAGAGGTCTACTGCTTTTGCAAACGGCAGTGATTCTAATGTTGGCTCTCACTTTATTGTTTCATCTTCTAGTGAACTTAGAACTTCAACTTTGCGGGGCTCAAAAGGTGAAAGTGGGCTCATGGATGGCCAAGAAGCTTCCCTTTTGGAATCTGGGTTGGCTCATGACGATACTGCTCATGTTCCAATACCTTCAGTGTCCGATGCAGTTTTGAAGGTTGAGGAGAAAGTTTCTGAGGAAGTAAGTGATGACTTGGTTCAGTTTTCATCATCAGGATTGAATGATAACAAGCACACCACGGAACTGAATAAGGTGAAAAGTACCACTGATAAGGCCAAGAAAAAGAGAAAAGAATTCCTTCAGAAAGCAGAGTTAGCCGGGACAACCTCAGATCTTTATATGGCATATAAGGGTCCAGAGGAGAAGCCACAGCCTTCTGTTTCTTCAGAATGTGTTGACGGCAATTCTGGCATTAGTACGAGGCAGCCACACTCAGGTTCTAATGAAAAGGATATTGCAAGCAAAGAAGATGAGAAGAGTATAGTTGAACTAGATGACTGGGAAGATGCTGCTGATGCTCCAAAACTAGAAAATTCTGATAAGATAGAAGAGATTAATGGTGGATTGAGACATCATGAGGAAGATGGAGCTGCTTGCAAGAAGTATTCTAGAGATTTCCTCTTGACACTTAAAGACCAATGCGCTGATCTTCCTGCTGGTTTTGACATTGCTTATGATATGGTGGAGGCTCTGATGGGTAGTAAAGCTAGCATCTCAAAAAGTGTTGAATGTAATCCACCTCCAAGTCCTGGAAATAGACCCATTGCAATGTCCAGGCCTGACTTCCGTGGGGCTGGAATGGTAGATGATGACCGGTGGTTTAAGTCGCCTGTTCTGTTTCCATTTAATCAGGACCATCATGTTGATGTGGGTCAGGGGGGAAATACTGTAGGTTTTCGGCTCGGCCAAGGGGGAACCCATGGCAATATGAGGAACCTACGTGGGCAGATACCTGGTCAGTATATTGTTGGGCTTCAGTCTGGTCCTTTGCTTCCCCTGGAATCTTATGGAGATATTCAACGCAATGGCCCTGATGCTGACAGGTGGCAACGTGCTTCTGGTTTCCAGAAGGGTCTGATTCCTTCTCCACAGTCTCCAATGCAGGTTATTCACAAAGCTGCAAATAAATATGAAGTGGGCAAAGTGACCGACGCTGAAGCGGCAAAACAGAGACAATTGAAAGCTATCCTCAACAAACTAACCCCTCAAAACTTTGACAGGCTATTTGAGCAAGTGAAGGAGGTTAATATTGACAATGCAGTCACTCTTACTGGTGTCATTTCACAGATATTTGATAAAGCTCTTATGGAACCAACCTTCTGTGAGATGTATGCAAATTTTTGTCATGATCTTGCTAGTGAACTGCCTGATTTTGTTGAGGACAACGAGAAAATTACCTTTAAGAGATTGCTTTTGAATAAATGCCAAGAGGAGTTTGAGAGAGGTGAAAGAGAACAAGCAGAGGCTGACAAAGTGGAAGGGGATGGAAAGGTGAAGCAGTCTGCAGTAGAAAGAGAGGAGAAGAGGGTCCAGGCTCGAAGACGGATGTTAGGGAATATTAGACTGATTGGGGAACTGTACAAGAAGAGGATGTTAACGGAGAGAATAATGCACGAGTGTATAAAAAAATTGCTGGGTCAGTATCCAGATCCAGAAGAGGAAGATATTGAAGCTTTGTGCAAGCTAATGAGCACAATAGGGGAGATGATAGATCATCCAAAAGCCAAGGAGCATATGGATGCATATTTTGAAAGGATGACGAATTTATCAACTAACATGAAATTGTCTTCTCGGGTGAGGTTCATGTTGAAGGATTCAATTGATCTGAGGAAGAATAAGTGGCAGCAGAGGAGGAAAGTTGATGGCCCTAAAAAAATTGAGGAAGTACACAGGGATGCCGCTCAAGAACGACAACAGGTTAATAGGCTAACTCGCAGTTCAAGCATTAGTTCTTCTGCAAGAAGGGGGCAACCTTCAGATTTTGGTCCTCGGCCATCAACTATGTTTTCACCTCCAAATACCCCACAAGGTACTTTCCGCGGAGTGCCACCACAACTTCGTGGATTTGGCGCTCAAGGTATCCGATTTGAGGGCAGACACCCTTATGAGAATAGGACTCTGTCGGTTCCCTTGTCACACAGGCCTGTTGATGATAATGCGATTACACTTGGTCCCCAAGGTGGTCTTGCAAGGGGAATGTCTAGTAGAGGACCAGCCATACTTTCAAGTGCTCCGCTGGCAGATATATCTACAGGTCCTGGAGAATCCCGAAGAATTCATGCTGGTCCAAATGGGTACAGTTCTGCTTCAGAGTGGATGCCCTCTAACTCAAGGCAAGAACCAATGACAAGATATGTCCAAGACAGGTTCACGCGACCAGCTGCTTATAACAACTTAAATCCTCAGGAACATGGTGTTCGTTATGGGGACAGAGGCCTAAACAATGCTGATCGTTCTTTTGGTAGTTCAATGGCTGGTTCACCTGCTGCTACACATGTGAAATCTTCTGCTACACCAATTGTTTCTTCAGGAAAGGTGTGGCCTGAAGAACATCTTAGAGAAATGTCCATGGCAGCAATTCGAGAATTTTACAGGTAATTTTTTTCCTTGTCCATGGCAAGTTGTACTTCTATTTTACTATTATCTTATCTACTTGTATTATTGGGCTTTCTTGGGCTGTTATCTGTCATAATTTCTGTTCATCTGATTCATGTAATGCCAACATTTTTGTTTTCATGCTAATGATCTCTTATTTGCAGTGCGGCGGATGAGAAAGAAGTTGCTTTATGTATTAGAGAATTGAACTCCCCAAGCTTTTATCCATCAATGATATCTATATGGGTCAATGACTCGTTTGAGAGGAAGGATAGGGACAGGGATCTTTTGGCTGGGCTTCTTGTCAACCTCACAAAGTCTAGGGACAGCATGCTAATAAGTCCTGTTCAGCTCATGGAGGGGTAAAGAACCCGACTTATATTGTAGTTTGAAAATGACTATTTTTGTTTGGTTGACGTTGAACATTTTTTTTCCTCCTTTTAAGGTTGTTTAGCTTAATAGACTATTGTTCCTGTTTGTTGCTGACCTAATTGCATGTTACCTGACCAGGATTGAATTGGTTCTGGCTACTTTGGAGGATAGCATAACTGATGCACCAAAAGCAGCTGAATTTCTTGGCTGTGTCATTGCTAGAACCATCGTTGAAAATGTCATTTCTATGAGAGATATTGGGCAGCTAATACGACAAGGAGGTGAGGAACCTGGTCGGCTTCAACAAATCGGGCTAGGGTATGAAGTTCTTCAAAGTGCATTTCACACAATAAGGTCAGACAAAGGAGAATCAACCTTGAATGATATCTGCATGAGTTCCAATCTACAGTTGGAAGATTTTCTACCATCATCAGGTCCGATGAATTGAATGCTTACTTGGATCTGGGTAGGAGGTAGAACTTCAAGTAATGCTTCCTTCTTTTCTTCTCCAGGGATCTTTTTTTAGATATGACTTGAGGTTATTCTTCCTAGTTATGTAGGCATTGCTGAAGCTCAATGACCTTCTACTGTTGTATTGTATATCTCTAATCCGGATTCAAGTTGGTTAAAAAAAAAAAGGGCGGCTGTTTCGTCCCTGTTTGGATGATACTGAAAGATTTTGCGTTATATTTCCTTTTATGCAGATAACTGAAAACTGGTATTGAACTTGAACTTGTCCAATGTCGGTGGTGTTGCGGTTGTTAAATCCAAGATTCTGTTAGAAGGCAAACATTCCTCATATTAATGCTATAAGTGGTTTCTAATTTCAAGTGTGGTAATTTTATGTCCATACTATGAGTAGATGTTAGACTGATATAAGAATTGGTGCTGCACTTGATTGCCATACCGAAAGGGCCAAAAAGTTGAAGACCCACAAAACAAAAAGTTGGTTCTCTAATTTGATGATTCAAATTATGTTCCAAGTCATGATGGTTCTGTTTGGTGCAGTTGATAAATGTTACTTTTAGATTTTTATTTTTAATATTTTGGGAGTTCATATCAAAATGTTTAATGAAGTTTCTCTTTTTTATTTTTATTCTTGAATTTCATATGCATTATAAATCACGGTTTAATTTCTTTATTCATTCTCATCCAATCAAAAAAGATATATTTTTTTTGATCGGGTGAATTGATTTCGTTTATAGTTTATGAGACAATAATTGATTAATTAAGTTAAAAAAATTATTATTAAAAAACAAGGAGGGGGTACTTTTTACTTTTGTTTTTGATTATCAATTTTCAATTAAATTAAAAAAGTGTACTGTTATCATAAAAAAATTGTGATCGCCATACACAACTTGTTAATTGTGCTTCTTAGCTATTATCATACAAATTTTCTTTTGATTGAGTCTTCAAAATTTAATGCTTGAAAAATTGAAATTTAATTTGATGAAGATAAACATAGGAAAAAGGTATTTTAGAATTTTAAAATCTATTTCTACTCCAACAAAGAAAATTATATAAAAATAATGAGGATTTAAAAAATAATAATAATAATAAAATTCACCAAGCTTTTGAAATTTTTTTAAAAGACAACCTCGAGAGTAATGTGGATATGTAAGCAGGCCCGAACCCGGCCCATAATGCTAGTCAGCCGATCCGGATGCGACCTATTTCACCGTATAAAAATCGAAGGAAGAGAGCTAGGGTTCTTCGGAATCTCCCGCTGCGTGGCGTTTCGCATCCACAGCTACAAATTTTCTCGCGATCCAAACAAGATGGTACTCTCTCTCTCTCTCTCTCTCTCTCTCTAAATTCATGTGTGTATGTAGATGTATATGCGTTTACAGATGCGAATAGTTACGGAAATGTGTCGTCTGCGTTATTGTTGATCCCCTCTGATGTCGTTTCAGCTAGAATGAATCAACTGTTTGCAGAGTTGATTCGAAATAGGTTGTGTTGTGTTCAGATTGAACGTTCTGTATAGGTTGTCGCGACGATCTGTGTATAATTGTGCATTTTTTTTTGATTCGTTTGAATATTTGTAAAAAAATAGTTACTTTTTGTGACATAGCAAGATTAGTATATTTAAACTTGGACCTCGGGTGTTGAATTCTCTCCATGTTTATCTTTGTTCCAAATACATTTCATTTATCTTCTTGAATTGTTACCATGTTAGGTTTTGCTCACTTTTATTTTTTGATTTAGGGTTTAGATAAAAAGTTGATGTTTTTCATCAACTGCTTTTCAAGAATAGTTATGGTTTTAGTTTGCTTATGCATAGAGTAGTGCATCTCTCTATTATAATTTTCTTATATCATTTGTCATTTTTTTTTGTTTTGGTATTGGTGACACTAATTGCTTTTGAGCGATAACCTCTTATTAATGAATTTTATTTGATGCATGCAGACTAAGCGAACGAAGAAGGCTGGTATTGTTGGGAAGTACGGTAAGTGATAAGAGAATACTGTTAATTTGATTGTTCAATGCTTGTTGTGTTTGGTTTCCTTTACAATTTCACTTCTAGATTGTTGAATTTATAGATCACAAATGTGTTTTTGATGATGAGCTTCAATTAAAACAATTCATTTTGTTAGTTATTTACAGGTTTGATGTAAGCGGTCTCTTATTTTCTGATTAGTAGCTGATAGGTGTCTTAAGTGACTAGTTGTGTGGGATAGGGCATAAAGTTGTCTCAAACATTTGATACGTTGGGTTCCTTTAGCAATAGTTGAATTATAGATAATGTCAAGGCTCCTGCCTAACACCAAGCTTACAAGTTTTCACGGTTCAATTCAAATTTTTAGTAGCTGCTGTCTGTCTACAAAGATAACTGTTAATTTTCTTTTCTTTCCTTCTGGTTAGAAAATTTTGAATTCTATTCAACTATTTAAAACCGAACCTGTCCTGACTATGCAAGATTCAGTTCGATGATTTATGCATGAATGGTATATTATTGCGATTCTAATTTATTATCTGGCTTTTCGCAATGTCGTCACACTTGTATGTTTGTATGGCATATGCTTTCTAGCATTTTCTTATTGCACTCTCTTTTGATTGTTCCTTGCACTGATGCATTGCTGAATTTGTAATTTGACATTAATTTCAGGTACCCGTTATGGTGCTAGTCTGCGAAAGCAGATTAAGAAGATGGAGGTCAGTCAGCATAGCAAATACTTCTGTGAGTTTTGTGGGAAGGTGCGCATATTCTTTTAGTCACATCCCTTGGTTAAATGTATTGTTGCTGTCTTTTTCAGGTAGGCATGACCTCTTTATTTGAATCGTGTTTTTTTCCTTATCAAATATTAAACTATTTGCAGTATGCTGTGAAGAGAAAGGCGGTCGGGATTTGGGGCTGCAAGGATTGCGGCAAAGTCAAAGCAGGCGGTGCATACACATTGAAGTAATTTTCTAAATTGTTTCTTTACTTTATTTATTTATTTTCATTCCTTCCTAATTTCCCCTTTATTTTAATTACTAGGAACTAATTATTTGTTTTGTTTTTGCAACAGCACTGCTAGTGCGGTGACAGTTCGGAGCACAATTAGGAGGCTCAGGGAGCAAACCGAGAGTTGAGCCTAGTTATTGGCTTTTTCTGTGGTGATTATGTTAAATGTTAATCTAGTCTTGAATACAGACCACCTGAGTCATTTTCATTATTATTTGAAGTTTTTGAGGAACCAGTTAAGTTTATTAGTTGAAAGGCAGTGGAAATTGTTGGAATTAGGTTGTTTGAGACAATTAATTGCAATTATCGAATGTTGTGAACAATCTTGTGGTTGGCTTTATTAGAGCTATTGAAATTTTTACTCAGGTTCTATTGATGATTTTTTTAATTTAGAATTATTTATCTTCGGGTGAATATTGCCTCCTAGCACAGGGACCTCAATATGGTTATGTTCTAATTTCTGGGCTTGGGATTTCTGAGTTTGTTTTTGTTCCCATTTTGTTTTTCTTTAAGAGGGAAGGAGTCAGCAATTTTCTTTAGGGTTGGATAATGTTACACAGGAAAATAATTTTTGAGAAAAAAAAACTGAAAAAAAAAAGAAATTTGCAAATAATTCTCATTCCGTCGTTCACTGGAAAGCAGTAATCTTGTGTAGAAAAATAGTTTGCACTTTTAATAGGATGTATGTTCCTTGAAAAGTAATTATTATTATTATTATTATTATTATTATTATTATTTTGTGCTTTATTTTTTGTTTTGTTTTGTTTCTATAATTTGAAGATTCAAACGAAGTGTAGAAGAATTCCCATTTTCTTTATGAAGCTTCAAAATTTTGAACAGTTGATCTCTGCAAATAGTGTTATCTTATGTCTGGATCATTGTTAGTTGTTGGGTTGGGGGGGAGTATGAAATGTTTATGAAAAATGTAGTCCAAATGTTTTATCAAAAATTCTATAAAATACTTGTGAGTTCCACATGAATTTAAGTGTAAGTTTCACATATGTGTGTATCACACGGTGCCCTTAAAAAGATGAAACGGGCTAGAACACATGAAGACCAAAAAAGGGATAAGAAGAGCTCTAAAATGTTTGGTGTGTTGATAGGAATGGCAATGGGCTGGGGCGGGGTCGGGGACCACACTCCCCGTCCGATCCCCGATTGTGAAAATCTCCTCGTTCCCGGCCCCAATCCCCGACGGGGGACCTATCACCGTCACCGTCACTGTCCTCGCCCCCTAACGGGGATCGAGTTTCTCCGACCCCGAAAATTCCCCGGACCAAATATGTTTCAACAACACCATGAACAACAACAACATCATCATCATCCCCAATTGTTTCATTTTCAACATCAACATCAACAAAATCATCAACCAATCCACTACCCAAAAAAAAAAGGACAGAACACACACATACATACATACACAAACAGTACAGATCTGAGGACGAAAAAAATGGACAGAACACACATATACATGTATAAATACATACACACAGTACAGATCTGAGGAGGATGGAAAAAATGGACAGAACGCACATATACATATATAAATACATACACGAACAGTACAGATCTGAGGACGGAGGCGACAGAGGTGATGGACGACGACGGAGGCATGGACGACTGCGAAGATGATGGAGAAGGAAGATGGAGGCTCTGAGGCGATGGACGGAGGCTGTGACTGTGACAACAGAGATGATGGACGACGATCGGCGTCGCGGACAGTGGCGGTGGTAGGCTGAGGAGGAGGAGAGCAGCTTGTGAGAGTGAGAGAGTAAAGGGAAGAAAGTGAGAGAGAGAGAGAGAGAGAGAGATCAAAGAGGAATAGAAAAGTGAGGCGGTGGTTTGGTCATTGGTTTATATATATATAGGGGCAAAATAGTAAATTCATTTTGGGGACAACCGGGGATGGGGATGGGCCGGGTACGGGGCTGTGACACTTATCCCCGTCCCTAGTCTGAAAGTGATCGGGGATTGATTTTTAAATACCATCCCCGCCCCGTTGGGGATATTTTTTGAGAAAAAACCGCTCAAAACGGGATCTGGGAGTCGGGTCCCCGTCGGGCCGAGTTCAAATTGCCATCCCCATGTGTTGAGGCTGACAAGGAGAAGCCCATTTTATGTGAGTTTGGATCCTCTAGAATAGGAGTTATGTAGAGTGTCGTGGATAGATGAGTAGGTCCGAGAAGACAAGAGCTCAGCCTAAGTGAGCAGGTCCTGGATTCCAGATCTTGGATCCCGGATCCCAGAAGGCATGATCTCGGCCTAGATGAGTAGGTCCGAGAAAATAAGAGCTCAACCTGAGAGAGCAGATCCAAGATTCCAGCAGAAAAAACCTCGGCACTTAAGCCCGAGAAGAGAAGAGCTCAGTGAGCAGATCTCAGATCCCAGAAGATAAAAAGAAAACGTACCAAGTCAGACTGCAGTTAGCCAGGTTGAAAACCTTTTATAAGGTCCACAAAAGAGCAAGTGAAAGCCATGCAGGGGGCAAAGAGAAGAGAGATTATTGTTTAACACTTTTTGAAATTTGTAGCAATTTACAAGTTGAAGTTAAACCGAGATAATGTTTAACACTTGTTGAAATTTGTGGATAATTTACAAGTTGAAGTTAAAACTGAAATCATTGTTTAACACTTGTTGAAATTTGTGGACAATTTACAAGTTAAAGTTAAACCGAGATAATGTTTAACACTTGTTGAAATTTGTGGATTATAAGTTGAAGCTAAACTGAGGTTACATTTAAACACTTGTTGAAATTTCTGAAAAATTTACAAGTTAAGACCAAGGTTGTACCAAAAGAAGTACTTATGAATTTGCCGAGGTAAACCGTTGGTGTGTATAACCGAGGTATTTCATCTCGAGAAGATTACACAGTCAAGGTGTACATTGAAGATATGCAAAATATTCTAAGTATAAGAGTCATACAAGAACAGAAAAAAGAAGGAACTTCAGCCTAAACATTGAAAAGTCATTGTTTAGAAATTACAAAAGTGGCACTTCAGCCAAATCCAAGGCTCTGATACCAATTGAAAATCCTACGTGATTTGTGATTAGATCAAGATTAACTAATTCCAAAACCCAATAAATTCAAAACACTCAACCTAAAATCATCAAACACTTACGAGAGTGATTTTAGTTTGTTTGTTTTTGAGAATAAACAATAAATCAACACAAACGATTTTTTACGTGGAAAAAACCACAATTGAAGAACCTTCAATTGTAATCAAAAACCACGGGCGAACCGCCACTATCAATCCACTACTGAAGAACGAAAAGATTACAAAGAAATCATACAAATTACCCAACCCTAGTCAATTTGTCTCTGAATCTTCTGTAACTCTTTTCACCACACCTTCGTCACGGAATTGATTCTGAAGTTGATTCCACACCACAACTTCACTCGTCGAATTAACGACTGCGTAGACTCAAACGCCTTTTGGATCCTACACTTTGATCTTCGGAATCCACCGAAGAGAACTCACTTGAAACTTAAGAAGCAACCTCCTTGATGTATGAATTTTAATGCATAAGTTCAGAACTCTCTTAAGAACATCAAGGAAAAAGATCAAAAATCTCCAAAAAAGACTTTAAACACAACCCTAGTTTGTTTTTATCAGATCTAGGAAAACCTCCTCCACAAAAACACCCTTAGCAGCTTTAAATAGAAAACTGGATCCGCGATCTCCGCTCGAGCTCACAACAGCCCGCTCGAGCGGACTGACCAAAAACTGCACGCGAAGAAACTGAGATGCGCTCGAGCGTAGGAGTTTCCGCTCGAGCGTAAAATCGCACCCACCAGTATCTGTGCTTGCCCTGTCAAAATGCTGAGACCTGCTAATCTACGCTCGAGCTCAAAAGTCTCCGCTCGAGCGTACAGTACAAAAACACAAAAACATAGTTTTGAATCAACACAAGGTTTTGTCTCCGGATTTGACAACACAGGGACCTAACAAAGTTAAACTGAGATAATGTTTAACACTTGTTGAAATTTGTGGACAATTTATAAGTTGAAGTTAAACTGAAATCATTGTTTAACACTTGTTGAAATTTGTGGACAATTTACAAGTTGAAGTTAAACCGAGATCATTGTTTAACACTTGTTGAAATTCTATGTTAATAAATATACAAAAATATGAAAAATATATTGAATTTTTACATTTTTCTTTGTATTTTTAGTATTTAGTGAATTTTTTAAAGTTTTTTTAACTATATATATTATACTTTTTAACTGTATTTATGTTAAGTGAGTTTAAAAATTTTAAAAATTATTTAAAATATTTTAAAAAATCATCGAAAACAAAAAAAGAATACGAAAAATAAATGAGTAAATTTTTTTTAAAATGTTTTTTAAAAACTAAAACCAAACAAGCTGAATATTCCATCCGTCTCATTAATAGTCTTTTTTTAAAAAATTTTTGAACTTTTTAAGAAAATATAATAATTATACTTTGAATTCAAATTTTAAAGAGTTAAATCCAAAATAAATGTCTTTCTATTCTCATTTTTAAATATATTTGTAATTAATTTCTAAGGGATAATTTTGAAAATATTTAAATTTAAAATTTTGACTTTTCAAAATAAATATTTATTTTGAGATAATAAAATATAAAATAATGGACCAATAAAGTGGGATGGAGGGAGTAATTATTGCAGAATTCACATTTTAGGAACAACATTTTTGCTACTAGGTAAATACTTCTCATTTTCTTTTTATTTTCTCCAAATGAATGGACCCTTCTGACCTTTACATTTACAAGAAACAAAAAATAGTAAAACCATAGTACTATTCTTAAGATCTTAAAACATGCTAGGTACAATTGGAAGCTTTAAAAATGGAGGAACCCATCCTGCTCCCCAATCAGCCATTTTGCTCGAACTGAAAGTGGTTCCAAGTGAGCGACTCGTTCTTCTAGCAAAGAGGAAATAGAAAATTTTCAGTTCGTAACTCAACTCCCTTTGCTTTTCTGTCAACCAATAGGTATTGGCCCATTGTTGTCATTGCCGCGATGCATTCGGTCTTGCAATGCCTTTACGGCTGCAATTCTTGCTGCATTTGCTGCTTTGTTAGTTGCCACCACGGCTTTGTTCACTTTTTCATCCACCTTTTCCGTGTTAATTGCTCTCTCGGCAGCTAGCCGTGCTTCCTGAGCAAGACAACAGCAAACAATGAAGAAAATTCGCTTAAGCACTTCTATTAATTAATGTCATGTCTAATGTTGGCAGTACTTATTAGAGTGCCTTGTTGAATTGAGCTCAAGTGAAAACAGTCGCTAGGAGAGTGAAGGTCATCATTTGGTTCGACCTGACCCAGGTCTAGGTCCAACGGGCTTTTACCCACGACCTCACCCTGGGCATGTTTGTTTGGCCCAAATGAGACTTGGGCTGGGCTAGGGCTTAGGGTTGTCACCGGATGAGACTCAGCTATGATAATGTCAGAGAGAGAGAAACCTTAGATTGAGGTGAGAGAGTGAACCCAAGGAGTAAAAGTCAAAAACCCTAGAGTGAAGAGAGAGAGAAGAGGGAAAATTGAGAGAGAGAGAGAGAGAGAGAGAGAGATGGCACCCTTTCCACATCTCTAAGATTCCTTTTCCAGCCACAATGACCACATTTCTTTTCCTAAAGTTTGGCAAGAATTTAAGATTTGTTTACATCATAATGGGTATACTGAAGTTAACTTAAAAATCAAGACTTCACTTTGTAGAGAAAGATGCACAAGGTGAGCGAGTGAACCCGAGGAGTACAAGTCAAAAACCATAGAGTGAAGAAGGAGAGAGGAGGGAAAATTGAGAGAGAGATGGCACCCTTTCCACTTCTCTAAGATTCCTTTTCCAGCCACAATGAGCACATTTCTTTTCCTAAAGTTTGGCAAGAGTTTAAGATTTGTTTACATCATAATGGGTATGCTGAAGTTGATGACTCAACTTAAAAATCAAGACTTCACTTCATAGAGAAAGATGCACAAAACATCATTTTATGACGAAGGCAAAAAACATTCAATTACCTGCACTGCATTAACAACTTTGGAATGGCAAATTGCAGATGAAGATCCAGGAAGACTACCTTGAATGCGTGAAACATTGATAACCCCATTTTGCCAGTGGCCTGATTGAGTCTCCCCATTTTTGAACGTGTACAAACCAAGCCCTTGCCTTCTTCCCTCATGCCAGGCTCCCTCGTAAAGATGTCCATTCCCAAAATGGTATACTCCAAAACCATGCATCTGGTCCGCAAAGTATTCTCCAGCATATCTGTCCCCATTTCTGCATGACCATGTATTAGCAAAGTAAATCCATATGCAACTCTGAAATAATGGCATATGACAATTATTATATTTTGAACACTTGTTGCTCACCTATGAAATACGGATACGGGTATGAGTACTGGTACCGATATAATATGGGACTTAAGGCTTGGTTTGGCTTGGTTTGGTTTGGTTGTATTAAATAACTTACAAACCATAGTTTAATTTTAAAATCATGCTAAGTATAAAACAAAAAAATAAAAATAAAAATTAGTGAAAAGAGTTTTATCTCTGTAGTAGAAGAAAATATTGTTTCGACTGAGATATAGTACGGCTTGGGTATATATTAGATACGTCTGGGTACGCCAAAAATTAAGAAGAAAATTTTTAAATACATGTTTCGTGTACCCGTACCATGTATGCAGAAATATCATACGAGATACCATACACCAGTAAGTATCGGGTACGAATACGATATGTTTTTCAAAATACCCATACTTCATAGTTGCTCACTAACTTTGTCTTGTAAGGTGTTCCTCATAGCACAAGGAAATGATTGAGCTACCAAAGAAAATAAAACAACAAAAGAGGGCATGAATTTGGTAATTTAAAATTTCAGAATTGCAAACCTAGTGGTTTTAAATGATCCAATTATATTATATTTTTTTTAAAAAAAAATCACCCTCTTATCTGTATGAAAATGTCCAGACAAATTTGGCAATCTTTCTCCCAAAAATAATAAAACCTAAATGAGTGTACAAATTTGCAATCCTGTCTCCACAACTGATAAAACCTAATACACAGACAAACTCAATAATCAAAATCCAACAAATCCAAAAATCATGAACCTAATTTGGATTAAAAACCAAATTAGGCACTCCAACTATCTAGAAGATAGATGCAACAATTCCATTAATGCCAAAACAAGAGTATCCCAAACAAATTAGAGGGGAACAAAAAAAGAGTGTAAAAACAAGAGTATCTCAACAATCCAGATTTGAGAAATTTACCTGAAATGGTAGTGACCGAGCCCGTGCTTGACACCTTGCTTGAACTCCCCAACATAGAGGCTCCCATCCTCACAAGTATAAACTCCACACCCATGACACTGCCCACTCCACCACTGCCCAGCATAGACATCACCATTGCAAAACCTATACACCCCAAAACCATGCCTTAAACCCTGTCGATACTGTCCCCGATACCGGCCTCCTTTCACCCATGTTTCCACACCATACCCATCATACTTCTCGTCGACCCAATCCCCCTCATACCTCCCACTCATGTAATAGTAATAAACCCCACTTCCAGAGCACTTCCCTTGATGAAATTCACCCTCATACACATCTCCATTGCTATAAACCTGTACCCAAGAACCTGAATTGGGTCTTGTTTCTGATTTGGTCTTTGACCCAATTGACCAAACAACTGGTGGGCATGGCTTTGATGTCGTAATTGTTGAAGAGAGCTTAAATGGGGACCGAATTGAAGGAAGACGAGGGAGGGGAAGATTGAGAAAGATCACAAGAGTGGCAGAGAAAGCGAGAATTGATAAGAAATAGAGAAAGAAATTGTTACCAAAGAAGTATAAAGGAGGCAAAGAAAGAAGAATGATGAGGCGAAAATGAAGTCGAAGAAAGTGGAGATAACAGAAATGGCGAGAGAGTTTCAGAGCGATTGTTTTAGTGGGCAAGGGATTTGAATTGAGTAGAGTGGTGGTGGTGTTGTGGTGGTGGTGGTGGTGGTGGTGGTAGTGGTGGAGAGAAGAGAGAGTTGGGGAATGAGAAAGATTTGAAGGGGTTTGAGACATTATAGAATGATGGGTTTTGATTGTTGATGATGGATTGTTGTTGTTGCTGCAAATGGGTTCATACTGAAACTGGGTTTTTGTATGGGTTTGAATAGGAATTGGAATTGGAAGAAAGTTCAATGCTTTTCTTTTCAGATCTCAAATTGAGACTTGTGATGATTGCATTTACATACAAGAACTTGGGTTTGTCTTCTTCTTCTTCTTCTTCTCTCTCTCTCTCTTGGGTTTGTCTTCTTCTTCTTCTTCTCTCTCTCTTGGGTTTGTCTTCTTCTCTCTCTCTCTCTGTGTCTGTCTGCGCATTGCTTGTTCTGGTATTGGTTTTTCTAGTTGTGATGATCTTGGCTTTGGGGAGACAAAAACTAGATGGGGCAGTTAATCTTTTATTTATTTTTATTTTTAAAAATTTTTGAAAAAATTACAATTTAATTAATAAATAAATAAATAACAAAACCCTAACAAATTACAAGTGAACATTTATTCTTGTGCATAAATATGTGTTCAGAATTGATGCAAACAAAAATATTCAGAATGGCGTCGTTTGGGAATTGAATTGGATTTTTGACCTTTTTAGCTAGGGGCTGAAAATTTTGGTTTAGAAAAGATTTTTTGATTTTTTGATTTTTTTAACTTTTTAGCTTTTTGATGAGGTGTCTTTATGTTAAATGACCAAACTGCCCTTCAAATAATTTGCCCATTTCAATTCCTTGCCGTTGATGCTCCACGTCAGCGTCATTTTGCCATTTTTCATTTTCTTTTTCTTTATTTTTTTTTTGTATCATGCGTCTTTTTATTATTATTATTTTTTAATTTATGTTTTTGTATAAGGCGTCTTTTGATGGTTTCATTTCTTTTTAAATTTATGTTTTTGTCTTTTTTTTTGGGTTTTGTATACATTATTTTGTTTTTTTTTTTTTAAATGTATGTTTTTGTCATTTTTATTTTTATTGATATACATTAATTTGTTTTTATTTTTGAAAAATGAGTTTTCATGTGTCTAATTTATTTTTAAATTACGTGGAAAATGCTAAATTATGTTTTTATTTTTCTATTTCTTATTTTTGTGGGTGAGGCGTATTTTTTTAGTTCTTTTTTTTTTAATTTACGTTTTTGTCATTTATTTTTTATTTCTATACATTAATTTGTTTTTATTTTTCAAAAATGGATTTTCTTGTGTTTCATTTTTTTTTCAAATTACATGGCAAATGGTAATTTCTGTTTTTATTTTTTATTTTTTTGTTGGATGAGGCTTATTTTTGTGGTTTTGTTTTTTGTTTTTTTTTTTTCATTTACGCTTTTGTCAATTTCTTTTTCTTTGTATACATTAATTTCTTTTTAGTTTTCAAAATCGATTTTTCATGTGTTTTCTTTATTTTAAAATTATGTGGCAACTGCTAATTTGTGTTTTTTATTTTTTATTTTTATTTTTTACTTGTTTGTTTTTTTTGGAAAAATGTTTTCTCGTGTAATTTATTTAAAATGATGTCAAAAATCATAATGTACTTACCGATGCACATGATAAATTTTGATTTTGTTTTTTTAATTATTCTTATGTGTTTGACCTTGGTTATTTTTTTTCGAAAATGCTTTTTTCTGTGGTTTTTAGTTTTTCACTCCCAGCCATCTCCTTCCTCCATGTCAGCGTCATTGTAATTTTTTATTTTTTGGATGCGCCGTATTAAGTTGAAATTCTTTTTTTTTTAATATATGTTTTTGTCTTTTTTTTTTGTATACATTAATTTGTTTTTGTTTTTCAAAAATGATTTTTCATGTGTTTTATTTATTTTAAAATTAGGTGGCAAATGCTAATTTCTGTTTTTATTTTTTTATTTTTTGGATGAGGCGTATTTTTGTGGTTTTTTTTTTAATTTACGTTTTTAACTTAATTTATTTTTATTTGTATACATTAATTTGTTTTTATTTTTCAAAAATGGTTTTTCATGTGTTTTATTTATTTTTAAATTACGTGAAAAATGCTAATTTCTGTTTTTATTTTTTTATTTTTTGGATGAGGCGTATTTTTGTGGTTCTTTTTTTTTAATTTACATTTTTGTCATTTTTTTATTTGTATTTGTATACATTAATTTGTTTTTATTTTTGAAAAATAATTTTTCATGTGTTTTATTTATTTTTACATTACATCGCAAATGCTAATTTCTGTTTTTTAATTTTTTTTTTTCAACTTTCTTTATTTTTTATGGAAAAATGTGTTTTTTGGGAAAAGGTTTTTTTTTTTTTTTAACTTTGTGTGCTGAGGCGATGCCCCTCTTTCATGTGGGGGTAGTTGTTGCCAAGCACTTGACAAGCTTTTGTCTCCATTTGGCTAATTTAGCCTTTTTTGTCCGGTAGTGGCTAAAATAGCCCAAACTTCTCTTGCCAAACGGATAGATGTACATATTTAAGTTCTCTGTTGCCAGACTTACATTTGAGATGAATCTTGATCATACAAATTTTCTTTTGATATATTTTTGTAAACCAATTATGGCATTATTTAAATAAGTATATTTATTTAGATAATTGTAGTTATTTAAGTTATATCATCTCTTTATTTTTTTGTATATATTTATTTTATAAAAAATTAAAAATACATTTATTTAAAACATTCTAAACAAGCCTAACATTGCTCTACTTCCTTACAAGTGAACAGTGTTAGCTAGGGACACATCTCTTAATTGCATAAGGGGTGTTTTGTGAAAATGATTAAAAGTTGATTTTGGTTTTTAACCAAGTTTTTTTATTTTTTCAGAAAGTCATTTGAAAAGATTGTAAAAAGTCATTTTTTAGCTTTTTTTATTTAATATTTATTTATGTTGTCACATTATAATCAAATGATCAAAATCTTTCCATCTATTTTAGAAAATAACCACCGTCACTCATGTGGCTCATTTAAACAATATAGGTAGCTTTTAGCTACGAAATGACTTACAAAAAAAATTTAACTTTTAGTTTTTTACCTAAGCTACAAAAACACAGGACTTGTTTGGTTTGTTTTTGAGAAATAAATTTTGAAGAAATTTTTTCAAAATTTTGTTTGATTTAGTGATTTCAGAAAAAAAAAATTCAAAATCACTTTCTCTTTCTCTCTCCTACACATCAATCAATCACTTTTTCTTTCTCCTTTCTCCTTCTTAATCATTTTTTCTCTCAGACACATCTACTCAATTAAAACAAAACATCAAATCATCTCAAACTCCCATACTCCAAAATTATTTTCAAAATATACAACCAAATAAACCAAAAAAATTTCTAAACTCTCCCCAAATTTTAAATTTTTTTTTTATCTCTTAAAACCAAACCAAACACACCCACAGCTTTTAACGTGTTCCCAAATGACCCTGCGAAATTGTTCCTGGAGCAAATCTATGTAATATTTTAATTAAATAACTATTGATCTATGATTCATTTATTTTGTATTGGTTTTTTAAAATATAATGTACAAACATTTGAAAAACAAATCAACTCTTGTATATTGGCCTAGATAGTTATTGCTCCAATTTTGACTTGCTAAAAGGTCATTTGAAATTAATAAACAAATTAATTTAAAGTTGAAAATGAATCAAGCTTAAGTTATTTAAATTTAGTTTAAAAATTTATCAAGTATTAAAAATGTGTTCAAATTTGCAAATGAATTTTAACCTAGTTTTGAATTACTTCATTTTTTTTTATAGTGCATTTAAATTTATTAAACTAAATTCAAGTCAAACTAATAAAATTAACAAAGTTTTACATATGTTTAAATTTAAATTACTTACATAAAAAATCAATCTCAAATAATTTGTTTAACAAGACGAACACGACTAGAGTTTGAGTGGCATTTTATTTGCCTTATTTAACTTACAATTCAATGTAGCAGTAATTATTAATATGTGGTTTGCTTATTATGTTGTGTGTAAATATTTAAAACCTATGCACAATGCAACTTGCCCACCACCTATTTTATTATTTTTTTTAACATTTAGTGTGTGTGGTTTTTTTTTTTTTTTCATTAAACCATAAAGAGTAAAAGAAGTCAAGAATGGTAAAAGTTACAAATACAGAAAATATTTACTGAAAATTAAGTGTATGGTTCACATTTAAATTTGGTGAGTACAAACCACATTTTGAAGTAAATTTGATTGACAAATTTCATCTTCTATACACTTTTCCGATTATATTTTCTGTATTTGTAACATTGTTAAGAGTCGAGAGCCTATCTCTCTAGAGATTTCCGATGAAACTCCGATGTAGCTTTGGCGACTTCCTTTGCATTTTTAAAATGTAAATTTACACTCTCAGAGTATAGATCTACAGTTTTAGACTGTAGATCTAAACTTTTTATGTTCGGAATAGAAATTTCGACATACATTTTTTGATTTTCCGACACCCACAATGATTCTCTCTTTTCTCAAGCCTTCTACCATATCATTGTGGATGTTCTTCCTCTTCAACTTTAACTTCTAACGGTGCTCGAAGTACGGCAACGACAGTGGTAGAGTTGGACATCAGTGATGGGGATGACGACAAAGGGTATTGATGTAGATTTTGCTTGGATTGATGCAAATCTAACTTTCCAAACTATATCTATGAGAAAATCGGTAATTTTTCTTGGATCCTAATTGAATTATTTTCGAACTTATTTTTGTTGTTTGTTTGGCCCTTTAAAGTCTTGTTGTATGTTGTTTGTTTTATCTTAATATAACTGTTTTTCATCTGTCTCAAAAAAAAAAAAAAAAAAAAAAAAAAAAAAAAAAACATTGTTCAGAGTCACAATTTATAGTAAAAAAAGGGAGAATATACAAATATGAGTTCCTCCCAATGCATGAGTCTATGGATCAATCTGCATCAAACATGACCATCGACCACTCACTGATCACAAGTGCCAAATAATTGTAATAATAATTACAATTATTTTTCCCATTTTCATTTGTATGATACACCCCCCACACCCCCCCCCCCCCCCACTTTTCTCTATCCTTGTCCTTTCTTTTCACAAATTCTCACTCAAATTCTTGATCCAAAACATCCCCAAATCTCGTCATAAGCTTGTTCAAACTGCAAATATATACACACATATAATATGTATACTTGTATAAAATCGATATACCCATTGATGTCCAACTAAGTTCCATCTCAAGAAAACCAAAATACAAGCTGAGGCAGCTAACTATAATTCTAAAAAACCTCATCTAATTATCCAATGCATGGTGAGTAGTACCTGTCAAACCAATCTAATTGAGGCCTCAACATTTTTCTATTTTGTATTTAAACAAGATATACAAAAATAATAATTTAAGGATGAAACTTCCACATCAATGATTAAGCAATTGGGTGGTCTACTCACCTTTGTTGTTTTCTACAGCTCTGCCTCTCTTCCCCCATATATAAACCCTCACTCTTTGTCCTTATCAGTTACCAATCCCATCCCTCTCACCTTCCATGTCCCCTTATCCCCTCAAATGGACAATTTAGCATCATCTTTCAATATGCATGGCCTATTAGTTTTGATCCTAAATAAAGAAAAATAATTATAAGAGCAAAGAAACACAAGTCTTTTTGGTACACTTGGCATGCTCAAAGCTGATAATTAGAAATCATAAGTTAAAAAAAACCTATTCCCCAAGTTTCTAATAATCAACTTTTTAAGGTATTTAAACTATCTTTGCCTTATAACAAGAAAGCAAAAGTTGCACCTTGACATAGATTTCTAAAATTAAAAAACTATAAGCAACTTTTATAATATGCACCACAGACTATTTTCCTTCTCATCTTAATTTGTACATATCATATACACCATGAGAAATGGACAAATAAGGAATGACAAAACAAAGATGAGAAATGGATGGAAATGAAATCATACCAAATATATGATTGTTGACAATGAAAGCCCCATTGACCTAGTTAAATTTAATGGGGAAAGTTCATTAGCTCAGATGGCTAGGATAGTATTTGATCAGAGTTTTATTTTAATTTATTTGGTTCTTTTTCTACTTTGATGTCTTTTTACTTGAATGTTGTATTTGTGCTATGTCAAATTCAAAGTTGTGATGATGAAAATTTATGGATAAAGTTCAACAATAAATTAAATTAAATAAATCTTGTATGAAATTTTAGTTGGTGTCTTGTAAGTTTGGAATGTTTACAATTGTATCTATTTTTAGCCTTTAAGTACAGTGCCCTATCATTTGCAATTACAATAGAATTTAAATAAAGAGACTCTTGTGACAAGTTAAAAGCTCATGTTTTCGATATCTTTCAATATCTCCCTGCAAGATCCTATCCTTATTTGTGTATACTGTTATTTGGATTTTCCACATATCTTTCAATATCTCCCTGCAAGATCCTATCCTTATTTGTGTATCTATTAACTATTATTTGGATTCAATTGCACAATGTATCCAGATGGCAGGTGAACAAAGGCATTTGAACTAGGATTGGGAGGGTGTAGAAAGGTGAAATGCAATGTACATTACACTTTTGTGTTAAGGTGCAGATATGTGGCTAGATGACTTTTCTTGGGACCAAAGTAAACCAAAAAGATGTAAAATCTAATAGACGGGTAATCTTCTTTCGCTCTCTCTTTTTTTGCCAAGGTTTAATAGGTAGTCTGTCTATCTTTAGCTTTAAATGTTTCTTTAGATCTAATTCTTATGAGAAATAAGATTTTAAGGCAAGGAAGTAGCCCAACTTCAGGCCATTACAAGGACCTTAGTTGCACAAAGTGGGAGCAGGAGCGGGAGCGGGAAAACGTGGCCAATTAGAGTCGTCGTAAATTAAGAGCGCTTACGGAGTGATAATGGAGTGATATTATCATATATGATTTAATTATATTTCTTTTAAACAATTAGATGATTTATTTTATTTATTATATGTTAAAAAGTTAAGAAATAATAATTTACAAAAATTATTATTATATATGATATTTTAAGAAATAACAATTAGATATTTTATTATATATGATAAAAATTATAATTTCTAAATTTTATTATATATATATCTATATATTATATGATAAATTATATTATATATGATCAATTATATTATATAAAGTAAATTATATTAAAACGGAGACAGAGAGAGCAGAGAACAGAGATCGAGAGACGAAGCGAGGGAGAAGCTCAGAGATGAAGAGAGTGAGAGAAGAGAAAGAGACGAAGACAATCGAGATTGACAGTGAGAGAAGAGAGTGACGAAGACGACCAAAGAGAGAAAAAGAACGAGAGACAGAGAAATCGAGAAGAAAAAACAGAGAAAATGAGAGGTAGAGAGAGAAGAAGATCGAGAGATAGAGAGATCGAGAGAGAGAAGACGGAGAGATCGAGATCGAGAGCTCAAGATCTTGATCGCTTCCTTCTCGCATCAGATTCGCGTTTCTCACTCCTCAAACTTGTGATTCTTCTCTAATTCTTCTTCAGAAGCGGTAAATCACGCTTCTTCCTCAGATTCGTGAGTATCATCCACGATTCCTGCTACTAAAACAAGGACATGGATATGCAAATAAAGCTACACCGTTTTCCCTAATACTATGATAAACCAAATGACAAAACTGAAACAATTAAATCACCTATGAGAAAGAGGGAAAAATGAAAAAGATGACATGGTTATGCAACGAGAGCAAAACTACTCTACTAATTAGAACAAAACAGTAGAGTACAATTTTGGCAACCATATGTTCGTTCACAGAAAATATCTAATCAGACTAGAGGAGAAAATAAATTAGAGAAAACAAAGAGGAACAGTAAAAAGATGCACATCATGAACTCGAAATTTAGCCCAAACAGTAGATATATTGCTATATGTGAAACTGATGTGTTACATCAAACAGATGATCTGAAATTGAAATCACTAGCACCAATGACAAGCAACTCAAGAAATAGAAGTTGTTACACCTAGGAAAGTGCAACACATCTATGGAATTTAATGGCTACATTAAAGTGCCATTGATCGCAATGTCAAACTACAATAAAGTTCGAATAAATATTCCACCGGAAAGAACAAAAGTATAAATAAAAAGACAAATTATGCACCTAGACTATAGAAAGATAAAATACCATGGCATGCAAGTCAAGTAGCTTTTTCTCAGATATTCTGCACATCATATTTAAAAGGTGAACTCAGTTTATGAGAACTTGGGGAACCTCTGAACTCTAGCTGTATCATCAAAATCATTACCTCCCAAAAAGAAGATAAGTATCAACATACATGCCATGTAAGGAACTCCGATCCCCAATCAGCAGCCAGGAAATTCAGCCCCAAAGGCAGCTTCGGACTCCAGCATCATCATGGTTTGTGGATCTTGAAACCAAACACTCTAGGAACATAGCTTTGTGATGCCTTTTGTGGATTGAGGTGCCCATAAGTCATCAGGAACAGGTGAGGAAATGTGGTTCCAAAATAGGATCCATCAATGTCTATGTACAGTTAAAGAAACAATGACTGAAACACAAAAATAAATCACTGGAAAGTGGTGTAAATTAATGGTCACGATCAACATATCATTTAGGTCCAATGCCAGAGAGTCCGATAACACTTTCTAAAGACAATCCATAGCTACAAGTTGTTACAACTGTATAGCAATTGACAAGCCATTAACTAAACAAGACAGCGGTATGATTCATAAACAACCAATATTGAGACAAATGTACACACCAATTCCCATAAGTAACTGTGATTAACTTAATATTCTTGTCAAGTCAAAAATTGAAGAAAATGAAATATGTGATCCTTTCAATAACTGAATAATGTACTCGAAAGTATTGTTCTCACTAAATAGTAATTATAGTTAGTAAGTTAAGTGAAACTTTATTAACGTAGCTCATAGGTTCAATAAATTTAAATGTTATCCTTCACTTGACTAGTTAGACTTTACCGTTTTGTTCAATGGAAAAAGGACACCTGATGCTCAGTACCTTTCAAATAATAATTGAAAAATATTTAACATCAAACATATAGCAGTAATGCATGTATTATACTTTCTTTTTGTTATTGCTGTGTTAGAAATGAAATGGATATATCTCCATAAATACATATATACAAATGTACCCGCTAAGTACAGAATTATTATAGCATATCACTGCAATATCAGAAGATAATTATATTATATAAAAAAATGCACCCGCTAAGTATGGAATTATTAATGCATTTGCATAGCACTGCAATATTTAAAAAAAAAAAAAAATAGAAAAATCATGTCGCTCTACCAAGATTTTCCAGGTGTGCCCTTTCTTTGCCAAAGACTAAAACTTCCCAACAAGCATGGAGATAGTAGTTGAAGCCCAAACCATGTCCTTTACATGGCAATTTAAAACACTAACACTTGGATTTTATGCTTTCACTCCCTTGTTCGACCCCTTTCCCCCCTTCCCCCCTTCCCCCAAATAACATGAAAAGAAAAGGACACAAAAGAAAAAATTAGGTCACACCAAAAATGCACATCGTAATAAGAGGGGAAAACAGCTCGAGAAGAGAGTCACTATCCACACATATCAAAGAGCTGTTGGGTGTGAGTGTGCACAATCAAAATAAAGGATACTATTTTGGAATCTGGATCGAGGGCTATAAATATCTTCACACTTGGGACAGTAAATTTTTACTGTGCTTTGTCGAGGGACGTCTGATTGACCAACAGGAATGCAGGGCTGTCCACAGCAGTAAACTCGAGGGCATCGCCCAAACTCAGCATTCTTGTACTTCTCTAGCTGTCAAAGTTTTAACCAGTGGCCTGTTATAACAGCTAACTGAAGCATAAAACTGTGAAAACAATATGTAAATGTATAGCACCAATTATCACCATAGCAGCCATTCCTTTGCTTGTCAATATGTATCGCACGTGAATTAGACCATAAAGCATCTCAGCTGCTGATTCAACTAATTCATTCTGTTCCTCTGTAAACATATCACCTACACCAGTCCAGCTAATCAAATTTCATTGAAAGGATTCAACTACAGAATGAATGATTAAAGACTATATACAGTAGTACTTTAAGTTCAATGAAGATGCATCAAAATGTGTCAAAGAGATTGGATGCCTGGAAACGTCAAATCTGAGAAAAGCAGCCAGAGAACAATATATTTTTAAACCTTAGGTATAGCCCCATCAATGTCTTAAAAAAGCCTTTAACCAACCATCCATGAGCTTTCACGGCCTCTTTTAAGAATAGGAAGTTAACAAACCCTATTTCTAGAGTTTCAATAAATTGCCAGGGCATTTCAACAAGGGATAAAGGCCACTTGATGAGGGTATTTCTCTCTTTTAAATTTCATTGAAATGGCACACCCTTAATTTGAAGCATTTATAAAGCCTCAACTCCTCAAACATAATTATGTTGCCATCACTCAATGAACTTTCTCGAAGTCTAGTAAAAGATTCTTTTACTTTTTAACAGTTCCTTGCACATTTGAAGCCCCCTGTTGAAACCTTTGTATGTCAAATTAACTTAATGCAGTTATGTGTATAAAACAACATGCAAAATTAATCATTATTTAACGTTTTCTGGATAATATGTGATAATGTAAGAGGGAGGTTATGCACCCTAAAAAGGGTGAAAAGATTTCAATCCCATTTGGGTGGTTACAACAGAAGTGGCACCTGCCTAAAGACATCTTTCCCGCTGTCTAGCTTTGTGTTTCATGTTTGTTATGACTTTCTTTTGTTTTTTCATGTCACTGTGTTGTGGTGTAGCTTGGCCTAATGGCTTTGATCTGTTTGATTAATGAAATAGTTGTGTTAGTGGCAGATGGCTCCCATCTGGACCTGCTTTAGATTGTCCCTATCCCCTTTGCCTGGAACAAAATATTGAGTGCGAATAAAAAATCACAAATGGGATTAGATGGACATTCATTGTCTACTAGTACTAACCCAACCATATGGTCTCCACTAACGTAATCTGAGATTTTTCATTGGTAGGTGATATTGCTTCATGGTATCACCATTATACCCAATATTTACTCTTGCTTACTCTTTTGCTTGGAGTATTCTCCTTCTATGTAGTTCACTTCTATTATTTTATAAAATTTTGATCTTACCTTCCAAAAAAGAAATCTTTTATGGACAAACTGATAACACGGTAGATAACATTTATTTGGGAAATGCAAGCATTCCCACCTATAAGCTGATATTTAATGGTGTCCCCGGTTATTTGTTGGGCTAAAAGTCTTTAATGCATACACACAGGCTTTTGTTAACGTGTGCCTTTAACAAGGCCCATAGATATATAAATAATGCGAACACTGTAACATAAATAATTATACTTGCGTGATAAATGTGAAGGGGTAAACATAGCAAAAAAACTGCTATTGATTTTACAATTTTAACTTACCATGAGAGGATTCAACATCTAGAATCAAATCAAGTGCATAATCATAATAAGGAACTTGACTGCTTAACCCACAGAGGTTAAAATCATCCTGGATGTAATCATCATCAACTTCACAGAAAAACTCGTTCCCACGTAAATTACAGAACCATGAGATCCAAGAAGTATCATCCCCATCAGAACCACTAACATCTGACTCTTCACTGTCTGTTTCAGATTCCTCTGCAATTAGTTGAAATTAGAAGTGCATTAGCAAATATGACAATGACTCATATTCAAGATAGATTTGGGGAGGAGGGACAAGCAAGAAAAAATACCACAAAACAAGAAATAATGTTATTCGTACTACAGAAAATACTGATCTACTTTCAGATGTAAACAAGCCATGCAGAATAAACACCCATCACAGACACATCAGATCCTCAATAAACTCAAACAAGTTATATAAACTATGATCATCTGTACAAAATGAACATTTTCATGCAAACACATACCAATAAATTGTATCATGAATCTATTATATATACATGGCCCCTACCTCATTCATGTGTAAGCCAAATAATTCTTTTCTTTCTTTTAATCCAACCTTAAAAAAAACACACTGCCCTTCCAAAAGCCATTTCAAGTGAAAAAGAACCACACGTACAAGGCCCATCCCTCATATGTCAATCATCTTGTCCATAGTTAGCAACTACATCAACTAAGCTTTCACCATTCTGTGTTTACATCAACTCCAGTGGACCCAAGTACATCAACTGATCAATTTGTGGGAAACTTTATTCTTACACAGAAAAATTATACCCAAAAAAAAAAAAAAAAAAAATGATGTGACAATGTTGTTTTTGTAAACATTGCACATTGCATGAATTTTTTGTTTGTATATCATCACTCTTTTAACTTTTTATCTATATTTTTTTTTTTGGGGGGGGGGGGGGGGGAATAATATGGAATCAGTTCACGTGAAATTTGTTTTCACAAGGACTGACTTAGAGCAGCTGGAAGACCAACAACACAAACATTAAGATTCCCAAACAAGGCTCAAGTATATCTTTCCTATCATCATACAAGTTGGAGCAGTGCAGTGGGTGCACCACAACAAACAAAGTTTTATGGATAGAATAAAAGGAAACCCATTGAATGCATTTGGAAAATAACCCAGACTCTGTTAACCTGAACTATTTATTAAGATATTTGTACATGTGTAAACTAGAAGAGTCCACTGGAAGAAAAGTAAAAGAGAATGGTCTTCACAAACATAGATGCACTCACCACCTGCATCTTAAGCTTTTAGGTAGGGATAAGTTCTAAACAATGTGTGTTGGGTCTAGGAGTTGTGTAGGTAGACTCCTCAGTTTCTCTTCAAGCAATTAGACCTTCTTGTTGAGTTTTTGGAGTCCCTAAATTCTCCAACAATTGGTATCAAAGCTTCCATGTTACGCACAATACGTGGCATTAGAGTTGATGGTTGATGCCCTATGGGTGGACTCTCCAAACTTCAGGTGCTAGACATTTGTAGCATGCAATCACCATGCTTGACTAGTGATGACAGACTCTCGGTAGAGTAGAAACCCCAAGCAAGCACCCATAGGGACATGGCATGGTAGCTTTCAATGGAGTGGGTGAGTTTTGATGAAAGAATAAATCTATGTACTCCCAGGGACATAGCATGGATTTCTCAATTGAGCGGGTGTAGTGACTCACAAACTAGGCTTGGACACAGTGTTTGACATTACTAAATCAAAATCAAGGGGGCACTTAGACGATCTATGGTGACCTCTTTAGCAAGGAAAAGAATGGCAGATTAAACTAAAGGGGGAGTTTGCCCCAAAGCATGGTTCATATAAATGTGTGTAAACTAGAGAAGTCCCACATCAGAACAAAAGTAAAAGGGAATGATCATAATCAATATTGTATGGACTCACCACCTACAACCTACACTTTTATCTTATGTGAGTACGAGTGTTGTGTAGGTGGACTTCTCAGTTTCTCCTCAATGATTTAGGTCTTTTTGTTGTGTTATTCGACACCCCAAACCCAACAGGAATGACCAAAGTTTAAAGGGTAAGAGAAAAGGAAAAAAAAAAGAAAAGAAGGAAACCATTGATTGCATTTGGAATACAACCTTAATTGGTGTGCACCTCAAAATGAAAATGACAGAAGTTCTGCTGGGAGAATAAACAAAAAAGACCATTAATTCTAACACCGTATTGCCAACCCAAACTAGTGTGCACCTCAAGAACAATGCAATCAAAGTCTACCGCTGTATTTGGTTGGGGGATTTGGAAAAAAGAAAAGGTGTGTGAAATTAAGTAAAATGTAGGTATATTTTATTCACATTTCACATCTCATTTCCATTTTCCTTTCCAAATCCCTCCCCAAATACTCCAATCAAACCCAGCATAAACAGGATAATAAAAGGAAACCTATTAATTGCTCTTGGAATATAACACAATATCTGTCAATCCAAATAAGATCTCATCCAACCCTCTTTTATGGTGCTAGTAAGGGAACCAGCATTATGCAACTCCAAGCTTCAACTCCACCAAAAAAAAATAACAATAATTAAAAACTTTCTAAAAAAACTGTGTGTAAAACAATAAAGAAACTACAAGTAAACAATTTAAAAATATGAATAACCCACAAAAGGGTTGTTCTTAGCACCAGATATACCAACAAATTTACACAATGAATGCTCCACAATTTCAAATTTGCATAATTGAACTTATGAATCAACATGAAAAAGCTAATCAAAGATCACCAGGCCCACTTAGCATTGATATATATATGTAGAGAGAGAGAGAGAGAGGGAGGAGAGAGAAGAGAAATGACCATCAGAGCGTTTGTTTTCAGGCAAAGCAGGAGAGCGGGAGTCCCGGTGATCAGCCGGTGGCTTGGCGCCAGTTAATAGAGACTGAGCCAACAAGCGATCCTTATCCTTGCCGTTCAAAGCCCTAGACGTGGACGGCGAAGATCGCTCCAAGTGCTTGTCTAGGGCATCGTTGATCCGCTTCCGATCAACATGTCCCATCTCCGACCTCGATCCACCTCCCCCTCTCTCTCTATACATTCGTCTCTCTTCTCTTCTCTCTCTCTCTCTCCGACTATCAATTAACCTTTTCTGTCAAGACAAAAAGGAAAGAGAAAAAAATCAATCGCCTTTGTGATTCCTCCCCAAATACATACATAGCACAAAAAGACGAAAAGAACCCTAGGTTTCAGACGATGATGCTCAAATTACAAGTCTTGATGAAGCTCAGAGAGAGAGAGCGCGCTTTGAAGGGGAGGGTGAGGAGAAAGAAACTAGGGTTTTGGTGAGTGGGGGGTGAGCTGTTCACTTTCTCTCTCTAGATG